GATATTGCATGTCAAGGCAAAAGATGTGGACTACTGGACTGGTGATATCATAAAAGACTAAACATCCACCAGCAGTGGCATCGATCCAATGGTTGTAAAAGCTCAGCAATATTACCAGGCTTTAAAGCTATTGATTTGATACTTGACTCTCTCACAACAGAGAAACAAAATTGCGTTTTTGATGCGACAGAACACTCGAAATTCAATCAAATTTAATTCCATTCATAAACACCATCTTATGCACATGAGAATATGATTAAAATTAGCCCAATTAAGCGATAACAGTGTATATCATTTGCAGATTTGCGGGTGTAGATGGGAAGATTTGATGGGCACAAACTAGGTTAAATAAAGGCAACAGTAGTATACCGCTGTTCGAAACTCATAAATCGATAGAGATAAAAACAAATCCGGGTTACAAACTAAAACTGAGGGAAACGCATCAAATATAAGAGGAGAACAACGGCACAAAAAAAAATACAACATAAAATTTAACACACACAGAAACGAACTATAATGTAACAATGGCCATTTTCCTGACTTGGTACAGGACATTTTAAGAAAAAAAATGGTGGGTTGAACCTGGTTTTGTGGCATGCCAAATCTCCCGCTTTTATGGCAATGTTAAATATAACATTAAAATGACAACATTACATGACAGGACTACAATACAAATAAATGGGAGAACATATAGGATAAAGAAACACACGAATTATAGCTAACAAAAGGTACTAGGTTTAAAATTTAATACGCCAGACGTGCGTCTCGTCCACACAAGACTAACCAGTGACGCTCAGATGAAAAAAGTTTGAAAGCCAAAACAAGTACAAAGCTGAAGAGCACCGAGGACCAAAACTTCCAAAAAGTTGCGCCTAACACGGCCAGAGTTTTCTGCCTGGGACAAGAACATCCTTATTATTTAGAATAATCTATACTTTTGCAAACAGTAAATTTTATAAAATGACTATATAATAGATATACATGATAAAACCGAAGTGGGGACTAACTACAGAATAAAAACGGATACATTACATAAAACAACTTAATCCAACACATAAAAATACACAGCCGAGTTAGCCAAAGCCTCAACGCACAAAGTGACGTCACATTTGAAATTCTAAAAAAACACACAAAGTGACGTCACATTTGAATTTGTAAAAATATTTCCCAAAAATAAGATAGTAGTTAATGCGTACGTACACAGCACTGCATAACTGAAAAGGTTAAACCACATATATCCATTTCGTTTAATTTTTGAAAGAGCTGAATTATAGACTTGGAAATTAATCATACGTAAAAAGAATAACATCAAAGCTAAAACGTTGTTTTCAAAAAATTATTCGATGGAGAAGTAAAGAGTCCAACGAATACTTTATTAAAATTAGGAACTAAAAAGCTCGATAGTTCGATACTAAATTCATTAAAAGTGAATAATACAGATTTTGCTGTATTTAAGCGCTTTTCTAATTTACATTAGCTTTCATCGAGATTTATTACCATACTACTTCCTTAACAGTTCCATCTCGTTTTCAACATACTTTTATTCCTTCTAAAGATTGTTACGCGCACACGTGTAATAATAAGTATAAATTAAATAATTTTTGTACTTATTTAGACTTGATATTGGATCAATTTCTACGAAGGATTAAATATTGAGTTAGTGGATTTATTATATAAGTCGTTAGAGTTTGCGGTTTGAACAGTTGTCTCACAGAGGATATATATGTAAGCTAAGGAAACACCATCTGGAGTTACAGAAAATAATTATTGATATATTTGCTTATCGTTCTACTGTGCATGTTTTCCGTCAATGTCCAATAAAAGTTATATTTGGTAGGATTCATTGAATTCCAATTGTATTATTAAGAATTACAATGCAATCTTCGGGGGGTTATAAAGTATAATAAAATAATCCGGTTAAACCTTATGAGTGTTAGAGCAGGCGTGACGACATTGGCATCAGAATCGGCAGTGGATCCAAGAAGAAAAAATCAATTGGAGATATACTTGAACGGTTATACTCTGTTGTTATAGGGTTTCAACTTTAATTGAAAATCTAAATTTTCCCACTGGTAAATATTTTCAATCCTAGTAATTTTTTTTTTATCACGAACACATTTTTAAACTATACCATTGTTTTAATATAGATTTCATCCCAGATATCTACCAATATATACAAAGTATATTCAAAACTATCACCTGCTCACGAAATATTAAACAAAAGTATGTTCGAACATCAACAATGACATTTTTTTCGTAAATCATACGACAGATCGGCGATTACGCCAACGCTGTTTTCATAGTTTAGCATCATAAAGGTCAAAGGTTTTCACACCGAAACTATATCTACTGCGTCGAAAACAAAATATGATGTCATTTCCGTGCATAAAACACATATTTCTAAACAATTCTGTTTATATTACCTTAGAGACGAATAATTTGATGACGAATACGTACATTACAAGGATATTAAATAGGCGTCTAATCAATTGAGTGCCCGTGTTATATAGCCATTTCCCCCCGGGGAAATTTTGGATCATTGCCATTCTTCCTTCACGGAAAGTTGACAATACGTATACATGTAGCCACTTTTCCCCATTGCCAACATTTCCCCCGAATATTTAACCAAATCGAATTAAATCAAGTCTTTGTAATTGTGTAAAATCCAAATATTGGGTTGTTACCAAGACAAACATGACAATATTAACAAACATACAATATTCAAAGTTAACCAACATTCATATTATATAAGTATATCATATATTTAGATATTTTGGAGGAGGTGATACTTTATAACCATCAAAATTGCACTGCCATTTATTGCATATATTTTCACGGTATTTTCTTTAGATCTCAGTTGCATAGAAGAAATTTCTGGTACAAATTGTGTTCGGTTGTTGTCGATACGCGTATCACTTAAATGGTCTAGGGTCAGGCAGTATATGTTTGGCACCTATATTTTGTTACAAGGGTGCTGTTTGCATTCGAATAAATACCCCCATTCATCTATTGACTCTGCCTAAAAATCCGACCTATTCGTATGGCAGACATAAACATGTGTTCCTATTCATATTTACTGTGAATGATAAAATGCTACCGTAAAATTTGGGAGTAACACTTTTTTACCGCTGGAAATAAAGGTATTATATATTCATAAAGATATTTTGACCCATTGATATATTGTTAAATAAAATTGCATCCATTCATATATTTAACATCCTGAAAAACGGACATCGGTGACCATGGCCGTCTATAACTTATTTAGGAAGTGACCGCCGTGGTTGCAACAAACTCATTACGCGGGGTACGCATTATAGTTGCTGAATATGTACTTACAAGTTTATATACGGCATGTCAAACGATGTCTTCTTTAATGTGATTAAATTTTAATTTGATTTTTTTCAACTAAAAAGTATTTTCGCCCTTATATTTCATGGCGTCATTCCTTTAAATTACGCTGATTTGTAATTCCATTCTCTTGCGGGTAAAATGTGAAATGGAACGGATATGGTGCCATGGTACGAAGACGGCACAAAATTACCCAATGCAACACGCAAACAAGATACAAATGGATTTCAGTACATCAGTAAACGACTCTTATAATAAGCAGTCATATCCTGACGGTCTCGAAAAATATATAAAGAAATCATATCCAAGGGCACATCATATGTTTCAACAACTGTTACCATCCGATAAAATTCCTTCCAGCTTTCATGCGGGCTTTAACTAGAACATGGGTTTGACTATATGGACTTACGACCTACTATATTTGATTTCCTACTGACGTTGCCGACGTTACTACAAGAGGGGGAAAATTAGCTTCTCGTGCTACTAGAGGGGAAAAATTGGCCTTGTCCTGGTACCCCCCCCCCCCACCATTATGATTAATGGGAAAACTGGGACAATGCCAATTTTTTCCGGGGGGGGGGGGGGAACTAGATCGATCCAGTTGATCCATGATTCACAACATAAAAAGAACATTTTTGTTATAAGAAGACGGAGTGATATCATAAGGGATATGCATATAAGTATTATCAAGGGAAATATTTAATGGTTGAGATCATTTCTTGCTTTCATTGTAAGATATGCTAATGATAATATTTTGCTATTTTTAACAATTTTTCAACAATTGGATGAATCAAAGATCCAATAAGAAACCGCTAATACAAACACAAACAAGTCGTCTGATCGAACAGTTTACATATTGTGTCATATTCCCGCTTTGACATATTAGACCGAGTCTGGCTTCGCATGGCGAGTAATGCATGCATATCATGAGACGCTTACCATTTCTACGCATCCGATCGCCCCGTTTGTAGTTCATGCGATTCCGCTAGTTTTTTTTCTATCAGTTGGTTTATCCTTATGAATTTACGAGATTAGAACATTGGTTAAAAAAAAGGTTCTCAGGATACAACAAAGGGACAGTAAAACATCATATGTCGAAGAAAACCCGACAATTTTAAGCCCCTCCCCCTAGTTACGTCGAAAAGACAAACAAGTCCACAAAACACTACACAGAAAAATAACGACTGAGCAACACGAACTCGATCAAAAACAACGACTGAGCAACACGAACTCGACCAAAAACAACGACTGAGCAACACGAACTCGACCAAAAACAACGACTGAGCAACACGAACTCGACCAAAAACAACGACTGAACAACACGAACTCTACCAAAACTACTGTTTGCACCTTTTTAAAACTTGTATATATATAGATTATCGTTAGTAATCTCAAAGAGATTGATTTTCTTGTTTGAGCCGGTACGGCTAAAGTGAGAAAAGCAATCGAGTTGAGATGACCAATGATAATCTGTTTATCGCTATTTTACCTATGACAACGTTAGTAATTTCATTGACAACGGCACGTGCGCCCTTAGTTTCTAGCGATAATGTATACTGTGCTGAGAAAAGAAATTATCAATCAGTAAGATCAAAGGAAAATTTCGTAAAATAGCGATCTTTATTTATATAATATAATAATTTTATACTTACTTTTTTCAAGCTAGATTCAAACATATTTGTTGTTTTGTTCAACTGAAGAAAATATCAGAAGGATCATGTTTTTCCTTCGATACACATGATGGAAAAATAATCTGAATTACAATACATATTTCTATTAATATATATCAGCTACTAATCCACGTTGATTGTAGAAAGCAATATTCAAATTATTTGAATATCCCAATATCTAAATTACTTTCCGTTCAAATTTCAATTTAAAATTACAGTTATTAATGTAACTTAATGAAACTGATATCACTGATAAAAAATAATTTGCCAATGACAATATGTATCAACAAGAGATCATACTAAAATCCATGTATGTATCGTTAATGGAATCAAATTTAAATTAAATATTACTGCACATAGATAACATCCGAATACGATATTTCCTCATGGTACAATAATGTTATACGCTTATGTTTGCATATGCCAATAAATTCAAACTGACACACCGGTATAACATATGCACGCAAACCGACCAATCATAATTTTAGGATATATTCGAATATCTTTTGGAACGTCAGATGAAGGTGACCTTGCAACAATGCATAAAATCGTTGCTACCATCTTCAGAAGTCAATAAAAATTACGGATTTAATTGTGTCTGCTGATCTAAGGTAACTGGTTGAAACACAGCATGAATATAATTATCAAAATTTTGGATAATCGACATATCATGTTCAATTGTCAATGAAATTCAAGGGAGACTGGTGAAACTGGATTATTATTACACGTAGCCTTAAATATTGGAAGGGTTGTACAGAGATTGTGCAAGTTTTCCACGTGAAAATAGCGAGATATTGCAGTAAACATTTTCTTATTCTCTTGCAATTTTAATAGTTTTTTAATCGTATATAGGTCTCAGTCCAAAAGCGAGTGTAAAAAAAACTCTATTTTTCATGTCTGTCAAATTTGCACGATCATAATCTCAAGGGAGAGTCTGATTAATGAATTTTCTGTCAATATGTGACAGTAATAGCCATAGAAAACAGCGCAAAACAATTTCATTATACTGACAGATTACTATAAAATAATGAAAACGAAATTGACACATAAGAAAAACAAATGTTATAACTCATATTTGAAGACTTATACATCCATGACGTTTCCTTCTCTCTATCATTTCGGATGTATTTTATAACTTGTTCTCATTACTGTCAATGCGCATGAACAGTGTACGTCAACTTTCCGACGCGTTTTTGTCAGTCCCAATATTTTGGGAGGTATATATAGTTTTGTTTTGTTTGTCTACCATGCTTCAATTGTTTTGGTCTGTTTCATGTGTATGAAGTCTCAGTCGTGTTCCATTGGATGTTTATGTGTGTCGTTTCAGTGATCGTCTTGACATTGTAACAAGTTTGAGCTTTCTAAATTTAAGGTAATATGTGTGCATGTGCACGTGGTTGTTGAATTAGTATTCTGGAGGTGTGCCTAGATTGGCAGAAGTTATAAAATATAGATAATGCTTTTTTGTAAACATTTTATTGGAACATTGGTTAGCAAAACAAATCGTGCATATTGCAGATTAACAAAGCAAATAAACACGTATTAATAATTGATTTTTCAATATTGAATTTCAGTGTGCAATATATGCATGATAAAACGAACATGAATTAATGACAATTTATCGGAACTGAAATACACATAGTTAATTTTCCGGCATTTGATGTCTTATCCTGAGACGAGAAAAGTCTGTAATTATTTACCTCATTTAAGCCAATAGCTGTTGCTGTATCTCAGCCGCATCATAAAGCAACCAATCAGAATCTTTATGTGATTAGTAATTATTTCAAGATGACGTGTATAGGGAAAACGGTACTATTACATTTTCCCAGCATTAGGTTGGCCTTTTGTGTAACCAAGGCAGGTGAAGGAAGTCAAATTAGGAGCGCTGTGATTGGATGTAAGGGTACAATATATATTTTTATTTATCTATGAATAACTGCAGTGTGTATATTTACAATATAAATTTTAAAACCTATTGAAATATTTTCTAGAGAATTATTCGAAAAGGCTTCCAAAATTTCATAAATTTGGTGTAAAATGACGGTGGGCATGGATAACATAAACAAGCTCCGTTGGAAATTGGTCATGATACTATTTGGCTTCAATTTTTAAATTAGAATAATAAAGTTCTAACACCACACATAACTGTTTTATCGGGGTTTTTATTAAAAAAAGTGGTAGATTTAGAAAATGTTAGTATTGTCGCCTATGGCAGAATAAATAGTACCGTTTTCCCTATACTCAAGATAGCAAGGGAAATCAAAATCAATCAGACTTCAGTCATATTTTAGTATTTTGAAGCATTTGATAAGTACATTTGATTTTTATCACAAAGAGAATAGAATTTTTTAACTGAGAACAATACTGTGTTGAGAAAAGTGCTGAGTCATAATAATAAGTCAAATTGATGGGTACTGATATAAAACTTTATTCTAGGATTTCAATATTAACTATATTGTATAAAATGCACCAAACTATAGTTCTTTTGTAGATGTTTTCACCTTTCGCAATGATTAATTCAATTGAAAACACCAGAATTCAAGTCGCGACAAATATTTTTAACCGAAATATTTGCCTCTTTTGCTGTGTAATTCCCTAAATGTATCACTTGGGTATTTCTCTAGACATAATCTATTAAAACGGCAAATTGTCGGGTTACGTTTGTACTGTTTATGGGGTTAAGCAATATTTGGTCATACTAGAAGCATTTTCAGTGTTGAAATTGTCCATTTAAGAAAAAAAGTGGCCCACTTGAGGCTAAATTTAGATAGAATTTATGCTATCCTGTGTAACGAATTGTTCACATTCTTGGCAATTCATGCAGCAAATATTTCAATAGTGCTTCATTTTGTAGTTTCTATCTTTTATTATATCAGGCATATATTATTTTTCATTTTCTTCTGTTTGAAAGGACTTTTGTTGGAAATCAATACTCCCGAGGGACATAATTCTACCTTTTCATAGATTAATACAGGCAACAAAGGCAACTTTACAGCTGAGTATTTTGCATATTTAATGTTTTAAGTGTCTAATATCTTTGTTTTTATCATCTCAAGACAGAATAATGGATTTTATAACAAGCTCTGAAATTTTGAACCACAATATGGCATATACTAAAGCATGGAATGGAGATTAGTATGAAAAATCTTGAATTTGTACTTATGTTGTAAATTTTGGATAAAATGAATACAAATTGAATGGAATTGTCATTTTTATCTGTTTAAATGGAACTGTTTATATTTTTTTTTAAAAGATAAGATATGATTGAATACAGGTTGTTTATTAAGCCTTTATGAAAGAAGTAGAGAAAGAGGTGAACCAGCATGTAGGGGTGGGGACATACAATGATCCATGTTTCTTTAAGTAATGGGGACATACAAGTATTTATTATAGCCAAGGTTTTCACAATAACCCAGTATTGCATTAATGGTGTCATAAGAATTCTTTATATCTTAATGTCACAGTATAGGGAAAACGGTACTATTACATTTTCCCAGCATTAGGTTGGCCTTTTGTGTAACCAAGGCAGGTGAAGGAAGTCAAATTAGGAGCGCTGTGATTGGATGTAAGGGTACAATATATTTTTTTATTTATCTATGAATAACTGCAGTGTGTATATTTACAATATAAATTTTAAAACCTATTGAAATATTTTCTAGAGAATTATTCGAAAAGGCTTCCAAAATTTCATAAATTTGGTGTAAAATAACGGTGGGCATGGATAACATAAACAAGCTCCGTTGGAAATTGGTCATGATACTATTTGGCTTCAATTTTTAATATAGAATAATAAAGTTCTAACACCACACATAACTGTTTTATCGGGGTTTTTATTATAAAAAGTGGTAAATTTAGAAAATGTTAGTATTGTCGCCTATGGCAGAATAAATAGTACCGTTTTCCCTATAGCGACTGAAACTAATAGCTCCGCACCGTGATGCGAAGCAATTAGAATTAAATTGATGGAGCACACGAGTTCACCTCGGTTATTTAGGTTGGGTTCATGTAACTCAATATGTAGTTGTTCTGTTAAGGGCTTTATGACTGTTGTTGTCTATTTGTCTCTTTTCTGTTTGTCATGAAGTCTTTGACAGAAGTATTTTTAAGGACAGCATTGGATGTTCTGGTTTTTTACTTCTAAGTATTTAGTCATGAATCATCCATTATGAGTGATTTTGTAGAACAAATCCATCTTGAATAACTGATCGCGACTATAAAAATGTACCGTGTTTAAAGTTTAAAAAACCTAACTAGTTAAAATATCTACGGATAGAGATAAACGAGTTGGCTCTCAAATAATAGAATATGGATATACGTAAATGAGACACCAACCAAACGACACGTATAGTCTCCACTAATAGACAATATCTATATGAATCATTCCAAGGTTCCAGACTTTGAACACACACATGAACATGATTTTGTGCTTGGTAGATCAATGTGTAAGCCAACATTGAGATTCACCAAAACAGATAGATACAGAAACATTTGTCAACAAAACAGGTATCATTGATCAATTATCAAATATCATTTAGAATAACGTCAATAGTCAATAGCGTATTTTTATATTGTAGTACGTTAATAAATAATACTAGAATTGAAAACTTTTATCTCATTAATCTCAGTATTCTATATAAACATTCTTTTAAAATAACTCTCTTACAGACAATTGACAGGGAAGATACATGTAAAAAATAAAAATAAAAAGAGAAGAGAAAAGGAACAACTCTTTCCGAATGCTTAACAGATGTAGAGGCGTTGGTACAAAATAATGGCTACTTTTGATAGAGATTGGCAAAGTCATTTATTATCTTTTATAACGTAACAGACGTTAGTGTATGAAAAATGTAGGTGCGAATAAAGCAGGGATAAGAAATAACATCACATTGAATTATTCTCGTCCTAAGTATTGATGAAAGTTTGTAATGTACCAGCTTGGCATTAAATATTCATACGACATACCATCTTACCAAGTAATTTGTTGACGTTAGTTTTCATGTGGTCGAGTTTATCTCTTCACCTCCCACCTCAATGTAAAAATGGAAAGTTTTTTTCCTGAATATACTCCTCACTATATGGTTA